TTTCCTTTGAGTTTGATAAGGCTGAATTGGACAAAATACAGAAAATACACACGATGGATCAGTATGTATTTTCTATCCTTAACTTCTCCTGTTGTGTATTATCCCTTTCTTAAAGAAACAATCCTAACTGCAGCTTTCATGTCTAGGAGGCAGAGGAGTTGTTTTGTGAGCTGGGTTCTCACCATTCAGTGTCTGCTGGTGGCAGAACCCACATATCACACTATTCTTTATTTCTGTTTGTGCTGGAGAAAACCTACATATGGAGATAATCATAAACGATCACTCTCCTAAGAGAATGAGCAGCTGACTAAGCTATGTGTAGCACCATTACAGCCCTCCCTTAAGGCATTTAATTGTGTATCATGCAGAAAATGGACATTTTCTACCATTTTTTCAATTTAAATTGAAATTCACATGATGCAGTGAATAAATATTCATTCAATAATGTGAATATATATTCATTCAACATACAGTGAAGAAATATTCATTCCATAATGAATATAAAACAGCCTGGTTTATGCTGATGTATGAGAAGATGAAATTGTTTCAACATAACAATTAAGCTCCTGAACAAACTCTTTTTTTCCCATTTTCTACCCAATAGTTTTTATTTATCATGATTTTGATGTAGTGCCAAGTCATAATATTTTTCATTTGAACTACTAACTCTGCACTTCCAGATTGAACTGTTTCATGAACCTTCAGAAAGGCTCTGCCATATAGATACAGATATTTTACAGGACCTATTTACTTCTCAATTTGTGGATATTAATATAAGCATGATGCAATCAAGGCATGAAATGAGCTCAAGGATTTCATCAGAATGTGTTGGTTCTGTAATGTTTAATCCTTAACAGATTATCTCCCAGATTTTCTACCCTTCTCTTCATCTAGCAAGCTATCTGCCACCACTCTTGGTGGGAGTAGGATCTGTGCCTAGTTTTGAAAGTTTTACCTAAATAATCAGCTAAAAAACTAAAAATGTTGTGATTCACCCAAAAGTCTACAAGTCTTCTCAGACAACAAGGGATGCAGTCTTTGCTTCAATGACTTACAGGCTGACAATTCAGGCTTAGAGTTGTGCATGTGTTGTACTGCTAAAACCAGCGATTCAAAACCAATGAGGCTTCAGAACAGTGATAAATTGCTTATTTTGCTGCCAAGTTGTTGCCAGCTTACACTTTGAGACAATTTTTCATCTACATTTCTGTATTATTGTATTCTATTGCTGACCAATTAAAAAATTAAATAGAGACTATTGCTTACTCTGGCACAGATCTGAATCTCTGTAACTGTCTGTAGCTTAAAAAAAAAAAAACAACAGGCAAACAAATCAACAGTTGCAAAGACACATTAATACTTTTCAGCACGGCAATTGCCCAAGTTCCTTCGTCTATTCATCCATAGAGCTGAACATAATGTTCAGTGATTTATTTCCCACATCAGTATAATGGTGTAGGAGGAGGAGGCACACAGCTTCTGTGACAGAGGGGGAACAAGAAGACCTTGGCGTGGGAAAGGGAAAATTGGGGCTGGGTGGTAGGAAGTCAGACTCATGCTGCCGTGATGGAGTGAAGTCACGGTGAAGGGGAAGCAGGCTAGGTGGAAAGTGCGAGGCTTTAACACCACTGGTAGTGAGGAGGAGAGGTGGGGAGACGGGAGACACCTCGCATGGGGGCTGAGGGATGGTGGGAGAGGAGCGGAGAGTCTGGAGAGATGAGCACAGGGGTTTCATCATGGCTGCATTTAGAAGCTGAATTTGGGACACAGTAAGGGCTTTAACTCATATGTCTGGCAGGTTTAGCTGTGGTCTCTGAATGCCCAGTTACCCTTCTGCCAAGGGTTCACAGGGTCCTAGGATAACTCAGGTTGGAAGGGACCTCAGGAAGTCCCTAACCCAACCTCCTGCTCACAGCAGGGTCAGCTTGGAGGCCACCAGGCAGAGAGGAGATGATGGGGGGAATGTGTTGGCCATCTAGCATATTGTCTTAAACTGCCTTTTCTGGAGGAGTTAATGTCTTAAGCAGTTAAATGCACCTAAGACTGTGGGCTGGAGCCCAGAGGGGTTAAGGAAGAGGGCCAAAGCAGCGGTGAGGGCTGTGCATTTCTCACTGGGTTCCTGGGGTACACTTTGCTGTCTGCCGTTTGTCTTGCCAGCCAAGGAAAGCTGCAAAGCCAGCAGAAAGCAAAACGAGCAAATGCCAGCCTGCGCTCCTGGGGGTCACAGGCTCCCTTCATACCTCTCCTCCTCTGGCCAGTACTCTCCAGTGAGCCACTGTCTGCCCCAAGACAATCTGCCCTCGGTTTCCCTGATTTAACCTGGTTCGAACCCACCCTGTAAATTGAAGAACATAAAAGACTATTTAAACGTCAAACATATGGACCTTAAACTCTAGAAAATTAACAAAATAAAATTAAAATATGGTGTTAGCCAGCATGTAATAGCAAGGTGCTCTTTTGGCTGTGCCACCATAACTTGCTTAAAATTCAACCCTGAAGGTAACAGTCAGAGTTTGCCAGATTTCTGATCAGTCAGGTATGTCCTCTAGCGTCTCATCAGGTCTGTGTAACTATTCTCTGCTTCTTCACTTAGATTTACCCCATTTGCTTTTCTTCTTCACTTGAATGCATATGAAGTGTTGGTGGCTTCTCCACAGGGACAGTTGTCTTTTGTGTTCAGAGTCTCTCCTGGGTCTCACGCTCCTCACCTTGGTGTTGCACCTCCCCTCCTACTTCAGTTTTTCCTCCAATCCCAGATACATGTTCTTAAAACCTCTCTTATTTTTAGATTCCTCTACATATTACACATCATAAAGAGCATTAATTATACATACATTCTGTTAAGTTCATGATCTCTTGTGCATTACTAGCTATCTCTGGAGAAAGAGCTTGCTGCATTTGAATGCATTACTGAAGCGAATGACAGGCAGAGTGACAAGTTTCATTATCTGGCTGCATTCCAGTGCCTCCCTGTGCCCACTGCCAGCCTCAGAGATTGCGATCCCCCCAACCTGCCATTTGTCATCTCCAGAGAGGTAGGCAGTGGAGTTTTGGGCATAACTCATCTCACCCCAAACTGAATGCCAATGCTGGAATTGAACCCTAGACTGCATTTACTAGATCTCCACTGAATGCAAAGAGCCCAGACAATGGGATGCTAAAAAAAAATAATAAATCGCTGAGGCATCAGTTCATGAACCAATGGGTGTTTGCTGTGACAATGACTGCCTAGGTGGGTGGGCTGAGGTGGGGTTTGGGAGAGCTATGACAGCAGGGAGACAGAGCAGTAATTAAGCCCTGCACTATCTTGGTTGATGCTGCTTCTTTCCTGGTTTTAGTCCTCTCTCTTTTCTAAACCTAGGTAGCTCTGCTATTACCGGTGTTGCCTGGATACCAGTGTCTTGTCTCCAGCAAAGCTGTCACTGAAAAATTGAATAAAGAAAACCATGTCAGGCTGCTTACTTCCAGTGAGGCATTTTCAGTTAGAGGTTCTTTTATTGCCCTTACTCGTTTGCATAGATCTGCATCACTTTTGATACAGTTTAAATTTATGACTTCTGCTATACCTGATTTTCTACTGACTGGGTAACACAGACATGATGCTGAATTCCAGTTCTCTGTTTACCTCTTGGTATGAACCTCTCTAGATTTATCTAGAGTACATCTACTAGCTAACCAGAAGTTAAATTTTCCATTAGAACAACAGAGATAATGAGGCAAAGATGGTTGCAAAAAGGTTAAACTATTATTTTAAGAATAAACCAAGAATTTCATGCTGTAGGTGGGAACAGAGCTCTTGTAACAGCATCCCATGATTTAGGTTCAATGTGTCCCTTCACTGTCCCTCCTGGGCAGAGTCTTTCTTTGAGGTTTCTAAATAAATCTAACATTACTGATGCACCTCTCCCAAAAGCCTTTCCTCAACTTTTTTACATAGGAGCTATTCAGCCTCTTTCGCTTCTCCTTAGAGGTTGATGCTGTCATGTTGTATGCTGGAATAGAGCCATCTCTCCCCGGTGGCCAACAGCCTCATCTATCTTAAGTCCTAACGCCTTCTTGCCCCTCTAGCACATGTTCACGCTGAGCTACTTACCAGAAATCCTGGCCTGACCACTGCTGCTGCTCACCCACCCACTGCTACCCATCCTGAAGAGGCAGGGCTAGGAGCTGACAGAGAGGAGACACAAGAGCTGAACGAGGGAAAGAGTTGCCCAGGGAACAGGAGGTCATTTCCAGGGCTCACTTCCATTTTTCTCCTTCCTCATTACATGTCACTCTAGAAGATCGTGGGCAGTGCTCCTGTATGGTACACATGCTGGTTCTTCCACCTGCTTGTTTGTAGACACCATGACCACTCTCTTAGTTCGTACTAAATGCTATGCTTTTGCAGTGGCTTGCTTTCTCTCAGTTGTACTGCTGCTACTTTACTTACAAGCCTTTAATACATTGACATCTAAAGCAGCAGAATTTTATCCCTCTGTGAGGCATTTTGCCTTGAGTGAGTCCATATAGTGAGTTGGTGGCCAAATGGGGAGTGAAATGGTGAGGCTGATTGGTGCCCAGCTTTCCTGACACTTCCACATATGACTGAATCAGAGCAGTTTAAGCAGTGTCTGCGTGGGAGATGGGAAGGGTATTGCAGCTCTTCAACCACGTAAGAGCCTGCTAGATACATTTAAAATCTTACAAAATCTGAGGGTTGGTTGGTTGGTTGCCAGAATGGACTCCTGGCTGGTTATATCATGGTATGGTGCAACAACAACAGCCATGAGATATATTTAAATTTGGCCCTGGGCAGCTTTTTGCTATAGCAGCTGATATTCTAACAAATATAAAAAATGTCTTTATATTTCTGTTCTAGGTAGTGCGTTTATTTCTGTCTTATTCCTAAAGAAGACCATGAGGGCTGCTGATATATTGGGTAAGTAAGCGTTTGCTAATATGGACATGTGTATCGCCATATGCTTGGCAAGCTGTAACTCTCACGCAGCCCCCCACCTTCACACTCCCACTTTCGCGAGATACTTTCAAAATTGGGAAGATGTGACAAAAAGAGAGAGAATCTTCAATCCATGTGGAAAAGACTGTGCTCCCAAATCCTCTGCTCTTATAACCATAACTCATTCCTTACGTGTCCTTATTGCTCAAATTTATTGTCATTGTCTATTTTTGCCTCTGATGTTGTATTTAGTATTATCTTTATGAGTACAACACTATTTTAATAAAAACAATGAAGTTATTGATTTATTCGTTCAAATATAAGATTTGTTTTCGTACTGCATAGACATTGCACAAAAATTCAAGCTCAATTAAAAGTGACATCTTCCCTTTTGGTATTAATTTTATCACTTCAAATAAAAAATAATCATGTTGTCAAATGTTTTGTTGGGAAACATGGTCTTCACTGTAAAAGCATGACAACTTTTTCTCTGTGTCCAAGATTTTTTTGCATATCAAAACTGCCCAGCTTGAACACAGTAATAGTGAGAATCAAACATATTTCAGAGTTTGGGCTTTACACCAAGTCATCTCGGCTGGAACAGTGCACCTGATGTTGCTACAGGGCACCTGATATTTCTGCGGGGTTCCTAATGTCTAGGCTTGATTGTCCATAGTATAACGAGGGCATCCCAGCTGTTCTCAGGAATGTTTTGGAGAGATTTGTTCGGTATTGTTCCAGGAATACTGTATAATATTTATTTAGGTTTGGGATCCAAGTTTGCCAGCTCAGCTGCTACATTCAAAATCCTCCCTCCCTTGACTGATCGTGTTTCCCTTATGGCCTTATACATTGTGTGTTGCTTTAACTAGTGCTCAGCACTGATTTATTTTATTTCTGTGAGTTCGGCTTTGCAAGAAGGATTTAACAATGTTGCTACATTCCATAGGAATGAGCTGTATGATGGGAAATATGGTGATGTTTTTGCAAGCACATAAATATAGAACAGTTCTGCTTTTCCAAAGGAACTGTCGATAGCAGTGCCAGCAAAGCCCTTCGGATGCACTTTGTTTTGTATTCCTGAGCCTTGTATTCCACACCGATTTATACGTTTGCCAAGAATTTTAAAGATTACTTGAAAAAAAATTGATTAGCTAATATCTTCCTTAATCCAATACAGATTATGAGCTCAAGATCGGCTCAATTCTATCTTGATACCTCAATGAACATCTGTGTTTGACAGCTGGCTGTCCACAAGGCAGAACTTCCAGATTTTTATTAAAAGCACAATAATGCAAGTTTGACCTTGAAAAGAGGCCCTGGCAACCTAATGCCTGAGCAGTCTTTTGCAAATCAACCTTTTATAAAACAGTTCATAGGTCTGCAAATACAACAGGGAGCGGCCAAAACGTTGGCTTCGTGACAACTTCACATAAGCATTGGACTGGAACTCACGTGTTGCACCTAGTGTTTCCAGGGCAGGTCCATAGCTGCCGCAGATCTCTGTGGCCACACTGACTTTGGGAGAGTTATGTTTGTTTACACTGGTTAATGATCTAGCTGTCTGCCTCAGTAAGTAACTTGTCCTTTCAGTTTAGGATAAGTTTATGTGACCTACTTTGTGCCTGCGAGAAATACAAAGGATTGATTCTCCTCTGTCATGCACTTGGTATCAGAATTGAGAATATTAGAGAATGCATTGCTGAGTTGCAACCCTAATTCATGGGCCTTTACTGACAGCTTTTTTAATATTTCCAAAATCTTTTGAGTCCTTAATAAAAATTACAATAAAGATAAGACCACAAATGCAAGGCAACCCAATTACCTAAGCTCAGATCTGATTAAATGGACTTCAGATTTTTTTCTTTTTCCAAACCAGCTGGAGAGCAAGGATGACCATGATTACCAAATATTGTATTACCAAAATAATGTGTCCTTTTCTTTAAAGGAGGAACACTGACAGTGACAGGGACATACTTATTGGTGACATTCTCTCCAAATGCACCCCAAGAGCTCACCGCAAGACGAGTACAGAATTACTTAGTGAGCTGGCCTTTTTTGGTATATTCGGTGAGTATCTGGTTCATACTACTCACTAAACCAGAAAAACTGGGGTTATTGGGCTTTTGCAGTGTTATGAATTAGTGGCAGAAAAACTGCTCCTGAAGATAAATTGTGTGATTTTCATAGGAGAGAGAGCAAGTCTCTAGATCACCACCCCAGTCCAAATGCTGAAAATATGCTGAACCAAAAGATGTCTTTCGAGCTATGTGCTGGGGGAAAGTCACAGTTGTGCAGGATTAACAAGAACAGCAAGATTTTGGGGTTTGGTGGGCTTGAGGGAAAACCTAAATATTGGCACTGCTTGTATTTCCTATATAGGTGTTCATGCCACACTGTCTGCATGTACATCTAAGTTACAGCACTTTTCTGGGATGTGATGGACTTGTGCTTCTAAAAATAACGCTATGTATGCTCTTGGTCCTGCTTTTCTCTTTCATATCACTCTGTTTTACCCCCATGTTGTTAAACCTGGCTGAAAGGAGCTTTACATGGAGTTGAGATGTGGAGAGCTGGTCTCTTCACTGCCACGCAGGTTAATCTGAACCTGAGTTTGAATTTAAATACAAAAATACCATTTTGATTAAAGTATCTGTACACAAATTTCAAATACCATAAGCCTTCTTCGATGTATTTAATTAGTGTCAGGAGCAAGACCAGAGTGAGTAGGAGGAATTTCTCCCCCTCTTTTCCTCTGGAATGCTGCAAATTTGTTCTTCCAGCTGAATGTAAAAGATGCAATATAGGAGCTTCAGAAGCCGTTACTTTCTTCCCAGTAAAGTGAGTCGCTTGGGTTAGATTATTAGTGCCCAGGCTTTTCTCAGTAGGAAACTCAGAAAGCCACTGAGTACACGGTTTAAGGACCTTAATCTTTTAGTCAACCTGCAGACTTTACATACATCTAACATGCTAACATACATGAGACTACTGATTAAGCAGAAAGTACATGCTACCACAAAAAATGCTGATCCTCTTGCTCAAATTTTGTGCATTTTAAAAGATCCTGACAGCTGGTGATACAGCTCAATGAAAGAAATTAATGATCATGCTGCACAAATCACAACATGCTCTTTCAATCAGGCAGTAGAGAGGCTTTTGAAGGCAATGCCCACGAGTTTTGGGGTACTCAGGGTAGCTTCAGCTAGAGCTTCAGCAAATCCATGTAGTCAGCAAAAGGGGAAGGACTTCTTTGGGGGGGGTTCAGAACAGGGGGCTTGGTGCTTGCTGGAGGACCCTCTCTCCTTCCTAATGAATATGCCCCTCTACCATGCGGTTCCACCTATAGATACCAAAACAGCCCAGTGTTTTAGGCACTGATTTAAAATTGCTGACTCACCCATTTGTGTAGAGGTGGTGGAGGGAGAAAATTCCCCATCCACGCCGAGTGACACCAGAAATTTCTGTGCTGTGTGCTATTCGCATTTTCTTAAAACCAATAGGTTGCTGGAAAAGGGCTTTTCCCTATCTGAGGACCTTTTTGACCTTCTTTCAGGAAAAGTTAATAAGAACACAGTTGAATGCCTAGGAAGACTGTGCTGTGTTCTTAGGAGACATTCTAAGGAGGTGGTACGTAACCCCTGGGCTTTCGTTCCCCTCCTCTCTCTTTTCCTTGCCTCAGCCAGCATCCAATTCTACATGTACAACATGGGTTGCAGGGAAGGATGGAGCAAGTACACAGCAAATCTTGTTGACTCAACAACATATCAAGCTTTATTTGTTCCTTATGCTCCCTGGATTCATCTGTTTTGAGCTTCCTCTGTCCAAAGCTCCACAAGAGACTCTGAGATACCACCCTGATTATCCTGGCATGCTGCTGGAAGTTCAAGCAAACTCTGCTGTAAACATTCTCTTTGGGCAAGGAACTAGCTCTTCATTATTGTTTGTAAAATGCCTAGCACAGGTTGGCTGCCGAGATATAAAAAAGCGCAGCAGAAGTTGCAGAGTTTCCAGTATAAATATATAGTGAGGAGACAGTACAGCAGTATAATGCAGTCCAACAGTCTTTCTAAAAGTAGACCCAGAGTGTGGTCTGCTGAGAAATACAAAGCCCCAGTGGTACAAAATGTTCTGTGTGGGTGATAAACCATCCCCATGTGGCACTCCACTGGCACCAGAGTTCTGCAGAAATAGCCTCTAGTTCCCACATGAGACAACTTTGAGTCACCTTCTGAGACTTTGCAGTAGCATAATCATGTCTAAGCAAGAATGACTTGCTTGATTTTTTTCTTTTTTGCTTACTTGCACTTTGAGTCACTACAGAAGACATCAATTATAGATGAAACTCTTAGGTTTCCCTAAACAGAAGCATAGTGAGTATTGGGTTGTTAATATTTAATCTCTGTAAAATCAGTTTCAAAGCATTTCTGCTTTTCTTTCGAAGTGCCTAGAAGACCCTCCTGGTTCATTAGTCCCTATGTTGCTGTATATCCCATAAAAAGAGTTGAGGCAGACAATGTGGTCTTTTCTTCTGGTGCCTTCTGGTAACGCTTAGAAACATGGAAAACATCATGATTATAAAAAAATGTTGATGAGATGTGGACTTGAGAAGACTTCAGTAGAGATTAGTTATAATAGCAAAAATGATTGTAAGCAGGTCAAGTTCCTTCAATTCCTCTAAACAGAATATGTGAAGCTGATATAATCTATGCACTTCCCAATCCTAGACTTTGTATTTAACACTACCACAGCTATCAACTATGACAGTGAGCACTATTTTGGGTGATTCTGAGGAGGTAATCATAGGCAACAGCTGGGGCACCCCAGGAGGGTCCCTGTTTGCTTGAGGTCCTGTTAGGAGCCATGCACTCTGCTTGCAGCGTGACTCAATGTGGTGGCCTCTCCCTTGTCTTGCGATTAAAGGTGACCTGTTGGTGGGTCACCGAGCGGCAGAGAACTGTGGAAGACTAGTTTGGCTGCTGGGCAGCATGAGGTGAAAACTAATTGTTTGAATTTCATGCTTAGTGTGCGAGACTCGACAAAGCTGAGTAAACTTAAATAACAGCCCTGAAAAGCACACATCAGCTTTCTCCCCACGTTTGGCCGCAGGGCCATCTCTGGCCCTTGCACCACTGCTGTTCTTGGGGCTTCCCCTGAAGGCAGAAGCAGCCAAGCACACAGACCTGCATGCCCCTTCCAGAGCTGCCATCAGGGCCTCTTTTATGTCCTTGTGATGTTTTTGCTTGGCTGTTTCCTTTCAGAAGTGAGTCTTCTTGGTGGATTGGTTTGCTTTTAAACAGGAGGAGATCACAGTGGAGATTTATGGTAGTTTTAGCAAGAAAGGAGCTGAAGATAGGATGAGGACTGACAGAGGGCTGATGGACAGAGCCAGCAACGATGACCTGGTTTAGTTGCGGTTGGTGGTGCTCGGCACTACCTGCCATGCTGGGGGTTGGAGTGAGGTGGAAGAGGGAGTGAGCACCAGAGTTGGTGTGATGGAGTGGTTTGAGCCAGTGACTGTTCCTGGGCTTGTTTTTGAATGATTGTTCTTGCAAAATTTGAAACCTAAGTGACAGGGCAGATGATGGTGCTTCCCTCTATTGGCACTGTGATTAAAGTTTTCTAGGGGATAGAAAATGAATCAATACCTGAGGTGTAGCTGGCTGCCTACAGCCGGGCTGTCTCATGGGTTTCTGCACACTCTGTGGCAACCAGTCCAAGGGTCTGGGAGATGTGACGGGTGCTCAGGTTTGCACCAGGGGAGGGAAGCAGATCTCAGAGTGCTGTGTCATCTGGTGCCATGGCCCCATCCCAGTCACACCATCCTGTGTGCCAGTCCTGAACTGGTGTGTCATGGAAGAGGATACCTGGGACATTTCTGGAACCTCTTTCTTAGTCTGGGTACATTTCCATGCGGGGAATATTTATTTAGCACAGATTTCTTCTATTCTGTTAGCAATTGTTCACTGTCAAAATAGCAACTGAAACTATTTGGAGGCTGTTGTAGCTGCAGCCTGATAAATGTGATATTCCCCTCTGGCCCTAAGATGTGTTTGCCAGTGGCACGAAGAGCAAAGCTGCTACCTTTACTTCTTCTCTCGAGTTCTCTCAAAACCCTGTCGTAGTTTTCCACAGGGAGGCCAAGATGAATGCACATGTCTGCAGATGTTAACATGACTTTTGCCTTGGTTCCTGATTTAGACATACGCAGTGTTACACTGTTGAATAAAGCTGGGGAGGCTGGCCAAGTTCCTTACTGTAAGACTGAGGCAAAAGCCTCTTTTCTACCAGCTGGTGGCCCAGCTTTCACCTCTGGGTGCAAGCCTGGCAGGGAGGGATGTCACTCTGGAGGGAGATGAGACCAGCACTTCACAAGAGATTGCAAAGATCATTAAACAAAGATAAGTCCAAGAATGCTTTTTTTAAGCAACAGCAAAATGCTTTATTATATTCAACACATTTAAAAAAAAAAATGCAGACAGATTGCTTTTTTTTTTTAATCTTGTGTTATATATTTGACATTTTTATAGAAAGGCAGTATAAAATTCACATTTGTATTTTTAATGTTCTGAAATGCAATTGTCTCTCAGTTGTCTTTGGGAGCAAGGGATCAGTGTGAAGGTAAATACAAAAAGAAAGAAAGCATAATTATGTTCTGTTCATATTTTTGAACACTACTAAACCGGGAGAGGTGTGAGTGTGGTAGAGAATTTTAGTAGCTGAATGTAGCCGATGACTGCTTTCCTGCTGCAGTCACTCTCCAAAACGAGAAATCGGCTATGTTACATTATGTAACTGCCGCTAGTGACCGTTCAGTCGTTTCTTTGGAAATTTCATCAGCGCAACACCCAGGTATTTTTGACTCTAGTGCTGCCTCATGGGGACTGTTGGTTTAAGAGTGGACTCGCATTATAAAACATACAATAGCACGTTGGTGACAAAACCAAGGAGATAGACCACAGGTTTTTCTATGACTTGTTTTCTTGGCAAAAAATGACGATAACCAGATTCAGTGATGATGACAATCTCATTTTTCTGTCTTATTTCCCCCATTTGATTACTTTCCAACATGCACAAATGAACTTCTCTTTCTTCATGCTGTCTCTAAGGCTACCAGGCTTCTGAGCACCTCTCAGTGCAGAGGTCCATCATCCCTGGTTTCCTAAGTCTTCTGGGCTTCACAGAAGCTTTTCGGCTCTTGCACTTGCTGTTTTCTTTAGGCACTAAGGGGTATTTGGGCAACGTGGGTAGGAGGGAGAATACCCACATTTTTGAGATGGCAAAAGGCAAGACTTACTAAGGGAATCTGGAAAGAGACACATTAACAGCAAGTCAGTAAATTTAACTGTCTATCATTTAGCTGTCAGTTGTTATTGAATGAGCAAGTTTGGACCATTCATGGTGTAGGTAAAGCTGCTTCAGCAGCTGCAGATGTCCTGCACTGTGGTCTGCTAGTGTGTTGCTGAGCTTTTCAAGGTAAGCTCCTGACAGGTACCTGTGATTTGAGAACCACCACATGAAATATATATTTTCCTCCTTGCAATGTGTGGCAGAAAGTTTGAATAAAAATACAGTGTTTGGGGGAATTTTTTTAGTAGGACTGGGGAGAAAGGCAAAGAGGGCAGCAAAAATAAGCTTGCATGTCACAAAGCGTGATACTAGGAATACCATAGCTGGAAGGAGAGACTGCTGTTCCTCCAGGTAGGTGCTTTACTCCATAGGAATTATAAACAGAGTTTCTGTAAGAATTATTACCAATAAACATGAGTATCTTTGCTGTCACATTAAAAAAGTTTTCTCAATGCTACCACTGACAAAATATAGCTAGAAGTGCAAAAAGAAAAACTAAAGAAATAAGAAATGCTCAAAGTTCAACTTTTGCTATAATAGGAAAAATAAATGACAACAATTGTTTGATAGCTCAGTCAATTGGCAATAAGGTTAGTTTTTAGCAGAAGACGCTTAATAAAGTAATTCTCCTTTGAACTGTTAGAGCAGAGAAAATTAATGTGACATCTCAAAGACTTTGAATGAAGCACTTATTACATAGTTTCACAGCTCTAATTTTTGTCCCATTTATTTTCAGATCTTAGAAATTATAATATTCTGCATTCTCCTCTATTTTTACAAAAGAAAGGCCGTGAAACACATCGTGGTTTTGTTAATGATGGTAGCACTACTGGGTAAGAACATATTATTCACTTTAACGTTGCTGTCTGTTACTTGATAATTCCTTGTCACTCAGTCTTCCCAGCTAGTTCAGTTTAGGGCCATTTCAAGGCAGTGTGCTGAAGGAGGATCATTGAAATATTTCACATGATTCTTGCTGTGGTGTCTTTTTGAAGACAGAAGCTGATTATGAAACATAGTTTCTACACTTACTGCTGGGACTATTCCTTTTTACAGATTTCCTAAAATTAATATGCCGTGTGCAATAGTATTCTGAAACTTTTCTTAAATAACACTGTAGCTTTAGATCCTGGGAAAGCAGACTGTTTGAAACTTTGTTTTGGAGAGCAGGCTACCTGTGAAAATCAGTTCTTTAAAACAGAGCAGCTTAAGACCTTGAAAGCACTCTGTAAACAAATGCAGTGATATGCTGTGACTATACGGGAACTTTTCTTTGAATTATCTATGTCTGTTCGCATATGCAACCTTTCATACTTTACCATCTTTCCAGAAGCATAACAAGAACTCAGTGGGCCACTGAAATTTCCCTTCTGATTAATGTTGCCACAATCAATACCCAGGGAAACAAGGGAGATCATTTTACCAGGCAGCTTTCAATAGTTAAACTTGAATCAGTTTTGAAGAATGTCAGGAGGCTACATCTAAAGTTCCACTGCTTGCAGGCATATGTTAAGAGTTTGTCACCACCTCATGTCTTCTCCGATCCTTGTCTTGTCACTTCTTCATGAAACCCTGGTGAGACACCATGTTTCTTTGGATGAAGTGAAAGGTGCTTAAACTGTGCCATTGAAGTCAATGGCTGTATTTTCACTGAGTTCAGTGGGTGCATGTATCACTCTGCAAAGACTTACAAGGCACATTTCTAATGGAGCTGGTCATGAGTGTTTTGATAAAACAGAACTTTGCTAAAATTTGCCACTTACACAATTTGGATTTAACTGAATGTGAAAAACCCTCACAGATTTATTAACTGCCTGCCTTCAGATCCCTCAGTGGTTTCTTACCCAACTGAAAAGCCTAGACTTTCAGATCAAGTTTTTGGGACAGTCTTTCCATTTAAGTTTCCCACCGCTAGGAACATTAGGATGTGTAGCTCTGCAGAAGCCTTGAAGGAGTTCCACGCTCTGCACGAGGCAGAGATGGAGAAGCCCGAAAAGCCTGAGTCTAACTGTTGGACTGCTCTTGGTTTGGAGGAGTGAAGCGTGAGTCCGGCCATCCCCCAGCTCCTAGCACGGAGCCTAGGAGCTTTGGCAGAGCTCACCTGAGTTGCTCTGCAGCTTCCAACCCTGCTGTGAGGAGCGTGAAGCACTGTGTGGTCCTGAATGATGAGTGGGTCCAGCCTCCTTGTTGCATAGCTGGAAGCCTGAAGATCCCCAGACGGGCTTCTACACTTGACTGCCACAGTTCTGGGCAGATCCACCACAATGGCTGCCCCAAGCAAGGTCAACACATGGCTCTGGGAGACCTGGGCCGTTGGGCTGCGTAGACCTGCGTGTTTATTTTGCTGTGGAGCCTGCCAACCCTGATGCCACCAGCGCCAAAAGGACAGGTGAAGCTACTGAAGAGCAACAGAGCTGCAAACCTGTGCCCCAGCAGGCACTCCTGCAGCTCGGTGGTCAGACAGCAGTCAACCAAAAATACAACTTCAGCTGGTGGGTGCTGAGGTTTTGGTGAGCATATGCAGCTTGAGGAAAAATGTGTCATTATTTCTGCTCTATTAAAAAGGACACAAATGAACAAATCCTGCTTCATGGGAATTTTTGAAATACTGACATTTCCCTCGAGCAGGAAACCCAGAACTGTGGCTGGTCCCAGTCCCTGCAGCTGTCCTGGTGCCTGGCAGTCCCCACAAAGCTACACTTAGAGCCTTCTGCTTGGTCTCTAACCTTTCCGCTGAGCAAAGTGATGGGGGTGCTGAGAGAGGGGCCGGCATCTTTGCTGCCAGCTGTTGGACACATGCACTGCCCTTGGAGAGCCCCGGCTGCGGGAAGGGCAGATGAGGCTTGGGGTCTTGGTGGTAGCTCATGGAAAGGGATTTCTGCCTTTTCTCATATCTGCACAGATACATTCCTGATGAAGGGTTCGTACAGATGTAAATTAAATGTAGAAATGTTTCTTTAAAGAGAGGGCAGCCTTTGTGTTTCACTGGATATGACAGCTACTTTCATTTTGAAGAAAATACAGAGGTGATCGTAAAATCTGCAATCGTTTTGCTTAGTACAACTCTGCAGGTTCATTTGGTGAGAATTATCTTACCTCATGTATATACTGGGAGTTATCATAGGTTTGGATGGAAATATTTCAGATTAAAGTGGGATTTCTGAGTTTCCTGCCCTAACAGCTGGAAAGTGACATCATTTG